TGCTGACCTAATTGCTTGCTAAATTAATTATTCAGTAACTTATAAGATTAATCAAGTTTTTTTTTTAAAATAAGGTTCAAAAAAGAAGCATATTTTCCATGCAACAATTAAGACAGTTTGAGTGTTAGGAAGAGAAGCACAGCTTCAAAAGAAGTACCTAAGTAAATGAGAAATGATTGTTAACTTGTTTCTTATGACATAAATGACACAGCACTGTCCTTTTAAAACATTAACTTCCACTTTTTTTTAAATTGAAGACTGTTGTTTTTCTTATAGATATCACAGCTGCTTAGGAAGTATGTGACTATTTCACTCTATAAACCTGAACTGGGAAGCTTGATCTTTTATTTTTATTGAAGTCATCAGTTTTGTAAATGTACACATGAACACACTTTTTCTCCCTTTCTTCGTCCCTCTGTCCCTACACACGCACACACAAACACACACACACACAAACTGCAATTTTAAAATTAGCTTGCTGCTTCATGCAGCTGCACATTATTGTAAAAATGTGTGTAGGTGGGAAATGGCTATGACAAATTTGACAAGCTTCCAGGAGGAACTGCTTTCCCTCTGCAAGATGACTGCAGTTGAAAGTAGTCATTAGATTCATATCACACTGCTTTCAAATAGTGAGAAGGGTTTTTTTTTTCACCACTGAAGACTTTGCTAGATATTTTCCATGAACATCATGGAGCTCTTTGCATATTCCAGATGCACACAATTAATATATTTTGCCCATTCGTTTGTACTTAGGTGCAGTCATATTATGCTGATGATAGCCATGGGTGATAAAGCACTCCACGCAGAGAGTAAATTGGCTGCCTGCAATGAGACAGCATGTTCTAGCTTTCCTCTGTGTGTAGAACAACACCCAAGCTGGCTGGTATAGGAGAAAAACCTTCTGCAAAGAAATGCTTCTTCTCTACTGGCCTCTGGTAGGCTAACAGCCCATACTTTTGTTGTCTTATAAAGTCTCTTCTGAGAAGAGTTTCCTACAAACTTAAAAATGGCAAGAGTTAAGAAGAAAAAGATTTGCCATCTACATAGGCATACTTTTCAGAGGATGTAAATCAGTTTATAAATTCTCTACCCATAAGGACAAGCAGCTTTTTTTAAAAAAAGTGTCTCTACCTGAAATACTCAAAATCCTTAAAAGCCTTTTTAAGGGGACCTTTTTCAGGGGGAGGGGGCAAATATGAAATGTCATGAGTACAGCAGTCCCATTCCTCAATTATATTGAGAAGGGAAGCGGAGTTATTACTGCTAAGTTGATAGAAAGGCAGTTTCAGTTGGGAGGGAAGGTGAGAACAACACAAGCCGTTCAGGCAGAGCACTTGAAAACATGGTAACAGCCTATCAGAGAAGTACCATACTGGCAGCGGCCATATAGAAGCAGTGCATCTATCACAGCAGTGGTATTTCTGGCTTTCTGCTGGCTTAGCCAGACTTGTGCCAAATCAACAATTATTATATGATTTATACAGTGCACAGTGGACATTTCTGTTTGTAAAAAGAGATTGTTTCTTTGACATCTAGAAATTCTGTCCTTGCCAGGTGAACAGGCAATTCAGAATGGGATAGGATACTTGGAACTTAGATGGGAGAGCTCTACTTAAATTTTAAACTCCTACTTAGAAAACCTTTAAACTATTAAGTTCTGCCTAGTTGTCTGTATGCTTTTTTCCACCTTTCTCTGTGCTTTACCTAAATATGGAGAAAAGTTCAATTTTTGTTGGGTTCATTTTCAAAATTTGTTAGAACCAGTTTGGTTCTAGTGGTTCTAGCCTAATGGTTAAGGCACCAGGCTAGAAAGCAGGAGACTGTGAGTTCTAGTCCCACCTTAGGCATGAAAGCCGGTTGGGTGACTTTGGGTCAGTTGCTCTCTCTCAACCCAGCCCACCTCACAAGGTTGCTGTTGTTGTGGGGAAAGTAGGAGGAGGAAGGAGAATTAGGTATGTTCACTGCCTTGAGTTATTTATAAAAATAATAAAGACAGGATAAAAAATCTAAAAAACAAACAAACTTGTGCTTTTCTGGGCATGGTCTGTGTACATACTTTCAATTTTTATGATTATTCTACCTACTCCTAGAACCCTAGAACATCATATTCAGGAGGAATCCAGTTAACACCTTTTCTATCAAATTTTATTAAAAGGCATAAGGTTTCATTTTCACTTCCACTCCAGTTTAGAGTGGCTAAACTGATGCAGGAATTAAATTGGGATGACGCCTGGGGGAAGGCAGGGTGGTTAGGAAGGTGCAGGCTACACATGAGACAGGTTATGAATTAATGATTGGATCTGCTAAAAACCCACTGTGTTGAGACCTTCTGAGATGGTTCGAAATCTGTTAATGTATGTGAGTTCAGCAATCTCTCATTCAATTTTACTGGTCGAGTTTCTTTTTTCTTTTGACTTTCTTTTTTTTCCAAAATGGCTACTTTGAAATCTCTAATGGACCTAAGACTGACATCAGAACTCAAAATATCGGATATCAAAGTAGATATCAATTATTTTTGGAAAAAAGAAAGAGCCCAAAGTTTCAGGTCACCTGCCTATGCAAATAGATTATTCATGAACAATTACAATGAAATATGATTATCCTTTTTGAAACTGTTATGCAAAATCTTCATATATTGGTCTACATATGCATAATAAGCCCTTACACATACAAAATAACTTGATGTAGTTGCATTTTTTTTCTGTTATGTTTCAATATTTTTCTCTGTGTTCTATTATGATACACACACACATATACACACACACACACTCATTCAGATTAGGATGCTGGCAAGTTCTATAAGAAGGGATAGAGGCTGTATCTTGCAAGGTTATCTGAGATGAGTTTGAGGCTGTTGGTCCTAAGTAAGTAGACAAGATTCTATGAAGCTATCTGCGGTTTGTATTCCTGCCCCACCTGGTTGGTGAAAGAATCCAGGGATGTAACAGGAGGCTGTAACAAGTCAATAGTCAATGGATCCTTGGGAGAAGCAGTGGTGTGCCCTCCTTTGAAGGGAGTGGTAGTATGGTCTTTCCTCAAAATCCTATTGCTATTCCAATTGGAGAGAAGTTGACCTCTAGAACTCTCCACTGTGGGGTGCAACCAACCTCACTATGTTTAACATTTACATGAAGGCAACTGGGGAGGTCATCCATGAGTACAGAGTCAGTATCAATAGTATGGCAATGATACACAGTTCTGTAGTTCAATTCTGGGTCAAACAGGAGATGTGATCAAGATTTCATACCATTATGGGGATCCTGTTATGATCTGGCTCAAGTTTAATACCAGCACAGCACAGTGGCTTTGGGTATGGTAATCAACCAAATCCATTAACATTCCATCTTTGTTTCTGACCAGGATAGAGTTCCACAGTGGAGAGCTGACTCATAATCTGCAGGTCTATTTGGACTCACAGTTCCTGCTCAAAGAGCAGGTGGCAGCCATGGCCAAGAGACCTTTACCCATTTCCAGCTTGTGTGCCTTTTATGGCTGTTTCTGGGTCAGGAAGCTATCCTCAGTGGCTTTGTCACCATGGTTTTGATTACTGCAACATACTCTACCTTGAACTGCCCTTGAAGATCACAAGCTTCAGCTGGTCCACAATGTAATAGCTTAAGTAATGTCCTGCACAACTTGATTTATCTATGCCACACCTATATTTAGGGAGCTGCATTGGTTGCTAGTCAATTATAGGCACGTTTTAAAATGCTAGGTATCACCTTTAAAGTCACATATGACTCAGGAGCTGGCTATCTATGAGACCACCTATTCCAAGTAGCAAACTGCAAAAAAGGATTGCTCTGGGTCCCAATCTCTAGGGACTGCTGTCACTGGGGGCCACAGGGGCAGATCTTCTCTCACTGCTCCCCTTCTCTAAAACAGCATGTCCCAGAGATTAGAATCCCAGCTCTGCTATGGTTCTTAAGGACCATTAAGACTGGGTGCTTATAAAGGGCCTTTGAGAGGCTGATATGAATATTGGTTCCTCCTTCAGAAGAGGTGTTCATCAATTTTGTTTTGACTGTTTTTAGTGGCACATTGTAATGGGCTATTTTATGGTTTTAACCATGTTACTGGACATTGGACTTTAAGTGGCTCAGAATCATTTGTGACTGGAGCAACATGTAAGCCTCAGCAAATAAATAACTCACCCGTTATCCTATTTCAAACTAATTGAGAATTTGCTTTGGTACTAGTGAAGGAGATACAGAAGGACATTAGAGATAGGAAAAAAAAGGTTTTGTATATTATTTAACTGAACAACACAGATCACAGCAACAAATTATCCTAATGTGAAAAACGTTTCAGAGGAAAAGTTACTTACTTCAATATATTCATTGTTCTGATATTTCTGACTTTATCAAACATTTTTTTTTAGGTACCCAGTTGTGTCCAGACCTGCAGCAAAATGACTGCAGATACTTATCTTAAATATAAATGTTCAAAAACAATCATAGTGTCAGTTTTACACACAAAAATCATGTAAATACTATATATGTCAACACGTGTGACTTGCCTTTTATTTTCAGTGTAATGTTATGTTAAGCACAACCCATTACTGAACACTGTGGAAGTACAGAAAGTCTTAGTACAGTGGTACCTCTACTTACGAACTTAATCCCTTCCGTGACTCTGATCACAAGTCGAGTTGGTTGAAAGTCGAAGTAAATTTTCCCATAAGGTTCAATGTAATTACCGTTAATCCGTTCCGGCGTCCGCGGACCACGCGTCAGGGGCAGAAAAATGGCCGGTGACCACGCGGCAGGGCGGAAAAATGGCCGCGGACCACGTGTCAGGGGCGGAAAATGGCCGTGGACCACGTGGAATGGGCGGAAAAATGGCCGCGGATCATGTGGAACAGGCGGAAAATGGCCGCGGACCACGTGGCAGGGCGGGAAAATGGCCGCGGACCACATGGAATGGGCAGAAAATGGCCGCAGATCCAGTTCGTAAGTCGAGGTGAGTTCGTAAGTAGAGGTAAATTTTTGGGCCCGGAGCTGGTCGTATCTCGAAAAATTTGTAAGTAGGGGCGTTCGTAAGTAGAGGTACCACTGTACTATTGTAGTATTTTTGCCAGTTGATCTACCAAACTAGATGTTGCAAGCAGATATATTGAACTTTTTCCCAATGCCTTGCATTTTGCTTTCTTCCTTTTTTCTTTCTTTTCTCCAAAGCAACTTCTTGTTGACAAACAACAGGAAACCAACTGTGGGATGGAATGGTTAACCATTTTCTGACAAGTGCTTTTCCATGTGGAAGAAAAAGCTGCAATTTGGAGGGGCTGAACTGGAGCAGAAAAAAGTCTAGTCGGGAAATGGCAGAGTCTATTGGTGTCTCCTTTTTTCCCCCCTCAGGGGTGGGTATACCAAAAGACATTAAGAACAAGTTGCACACATCTATCAGAAATATCTATTTTGGTTAAAGCCTTTATTAGTCTTAAAATCTAGTCCCCAATGCTCTGAAGCCCATTACACCAATAGAAATTGCCTACACATGAAGGAAATAAGACGAGCATAAAAACATACTTTGTATTAGGTCATGTTAGGCAGTTAGTCCACCAAGCCCTGCGTTATACTAGCTAGTAAAATTCCCCAGGGCCCTGGGCAATGTCCTTTCTTATCTCTGACTTCTTGATTATTTTAACTGGAATCAGGGAGAATGAATCAGGAATTTTCTATATGTAAAGTACATACTTTACTGGTTAATTTAATCCCTTCCTTCAAATCTATTGCTTAGACTTTCATCTCCCTGGAGTTCTGCTAGTGTAGTCAGTAAGACCAGTTCAGAAAAACAGGGATGTTTTTCCTTGGGATCATAACATTGTGCACGTTCTTACATAAAAGACTGCAAATGCAATCTAAAATCAGTTTCACAGGGTATTAAACTTGGGTAATTTATTCCAGACAATTATTTCTAGTGAATGGTAAGGAGTATCAATGATGTTTTCTTTGACTTCTATTTACTATATTTGTATAAAAAGGCAATTAAATCAATATAATAGGCAACGTTTTGTACAAAAATACAGAATTTTAAAAGTTTTAAAAAGTATATTCTATATTACTGATCAGAATTGGACTATATATATTTATATATAAAATTTATATAAATTTATACATGTATATTTATATAAATTGCCAATATTTGGGAACTCAGCAAGTGGCTGCTTTGTTTACACAGTAGCTTTGTATTTTTTTGTCTTCCTAGAGTAGTAACGTTGTAACTTGTAATCAGCTTGCTATAGTCTATTTTTTACCATAATACATCTTCTGCTTTATGACTGAGGAGAATCTACAGGTAGTTCTATCCAATTGCATTTTCAATCAACATGTTTGTGCAACAGGTTGTAAAGCCCCTGAAAAATTAGAAGATCTGGAGGACAAATTGTCCTGATGAAGTTCATTCATCAAAGTTCTCAGTGCTCCTTTTCTTAGTTGGGTGATGGTTCAGTCCCAGATGAATTTCTTTGCAAAGAAAATGTCAATCTCTTGGCCCACAACCTATTACAATCCTGGAGACTGAGCTGCAACAGGGAAGTAAAAGTAAAAAGGGTTACAAAGGCAAAACTTGGTTTTAGAAACCAGAAACCAATACCAGAACTGTAAGTTGCACTGGTGAGTATTGCTTTCCAAACCCTGTTCATATCCAATCCAAATGCAAATACAAGAATGGTAGGAAGGAAGGCATTTGATGTGAAAATCAGTGGGCACCAATTGCAGGTGAGGAAAGAAAGATCACCAGGACCATCTTCTGTCCATTGCCAATGAACCCTCAGGCCACCCGTCAGTTTCACTCTTGAAACACAGAAGTGGGAAAAAAACCCTTCCATCCGCTGATTCTTCTCTGCGGGTAATCCCTCCCTCCCATCTCCAGAGTCTCATTAATAGGCAATTTTGTCCTAAGAACTTACCTAAGTGATTGGCCATTGCTGTTAACATAATGAAATCTGGTTCTTTGGAAAGGTTGTCATATACAGTGGGGCAAAAAAGTATTTAGTCAGCCACCAATTGTGCAAGTTCTCCCACTTAAAAAGATGAGAGAGGCCTGTAATTTTCATCATAGATATACCTCAACTATGAGAGACAAAAAATGGTGAGCAAAAATCCCAGAAAATCAGTCATCCTGGTCTCTTTGCAGAAAAACAGCCCCAAAGCATGATGTTTCCACCCCCATGCTTCACAGTAGGTATGGTGTTCTTTGGAATCAGTCATCCTGGTCTCTTTGCAGAAAAACAGCCCCAAAGCATGATGTTTCCACCCCCATGCTTCACAGTAGGTATGGTGTTCTTTGGAATCAGTCATCCTGGTCTCTTTGCAGAAAAACAGCCCCAAAGCATGATGTTTCCACCCCCATGCTTCACAGTAGGTATGGTGTTCTTTGGAATCAGTCATCCTGGTCTCTTTGCAGAAAAACAGCCCCAAAGCATGATGTTTCCACCCCCATGCTTCACAGTAGGTATGGTGTTCTTTGGAATCAGTCATCCTGGTCTCTTTGCAGAAAAACAGCCCCAAAGCATGATGTTTCCACCCCCATGCTTCACAGTAGGTATGGTGTTCTTTGGATTTTGTCTCTCATAGTTGAGGTATATCTATGATGAAAATTACAGGCCTCTCTCATCTTTTTAAGTGGGAGAACTTGCACAATTGGTGGCTGACTAAATACTTTTTTGCCCCACTGTAGCTTAAGAAAAGACCTGTCTTTAAAACATCCTAATTGCATTGTATATTTGATAAATCAACTCAGAGGGCCAGTGAAATATAAAGTGAAATGATGTGCTGTTAATAATGTAAGGTAACTGAACAGGGGGCAGGGGAGGGATCCAATCTGGAGCAAGACTGCAATACTGACATAAAGGTCCCAAGGAACTAACTATTTTTTCTCTCTACTTCATGACTAATATCTTCCTACCTCCTATAGAAGTTATCTGCCTTGCAGGAAACAGCAAACACAAACTTATTCCTAAGAATAATTTTTCTAGATGTTATACAGAATCTTTACTTTGGTTACAGTGACTTAATAATTTAAGATATTAAAAATTCAATGAAATTTAAATACACATGAAAATTCTGCTTGAAATTTAAATTTGGAGGCTGCTAAGCTAAGGAAGGCTGATTCAAGAGTGCTTCATGTTTGCTGCTTATTTCTCACTTTCTTTTCTCCAGGAGCCCAGATAAGGATTTTTTTCCCTAATCCCATCCTTCTTGTATAGGTTAGGCTGAGAGAGGGAGGAAAGAAGAATAATTTGTCCAAAGCATCCAATGAATTTTGTAGTATGGATTTAAATATGCCCCCCTACCTCAAAACTTTGTCAATATATTAACCCAAAATTCAGACATTAAAAAGTTATATATAATCAACAATAACAAAACACAAAGGTAGACTTATATTTCATTTCTCAGTTTTTCATTTTCATGTAACATGAATGCAAAGCAGCAGGTACAGGTAAAGGGGATCTGACTCTTCATCCAATGTGCCCTGTTCTTTCATGAGGTCATAGTATATCTCCTTTAAGTTTGGTTTTTAATAATACTTCTAGTACAATAATATTTTAAGGATACTTTTATCATTATGGCTCTCTTGGTTTTTTTTTTGGTACACTGCTTTGATTTATTTTCATCAGTAAGGAAATGCATCACTAAATAGTCTTTAAAAAGCCTTCACGAACATTGGGTCCTATTGCTTATAGCTTTTCAGAATGCATATTTGAATTCTGAAGCTATGCCACTGTCTTTTAGGCGTTAACTGGAAAAAGTAAATTACTGCATTATTTTTCTTCATAATTATCTGGGCATATTTTAGAACACTGACTGCCAAATGTATGTAACATAGTAAGAGTACTGTATCTGTGTAATCCTGGAATACTTGCCAACAGTTTAAAACCTCAGTGACCTGAACCACAGAAGCAGCTGGGGAGAAGGTTTAATCTATATACAGCTACTAATAAGGACTGATTTTCAGTCCTCTTCCGAGATCTTCTATCTGTATGAACAGGGCATTCAATTTCCCCTTGTCCCAGCTGTGGAAACTTGGTTTGGTATAGGCTTTGTGGTAAATGGGAATGCATTTGATTCAAGGCTCTTGCATACCTTTTTCCATATCTTGTTCACAAATAAAACTGTTAACATCTTCACAGTGAAAGTCATTCCAGAGCCCAGCATGGATTAACCCAGCACAATCTTCCCCTGGTCCATGGCCATGTTTCCAGTTATCGGGCTGTCCGGCACTCCAGTTTCTTGCAATAAAACAGAAAATGGATCATTCCATAACCAAGCCATCATGTGACAATGTGACAGAGGAGATTAATAAATTGTGAAAACAAAACAAAAACAAAACAATCTCTCCTAAAGCAGAAAACATACTTCTTAACAAACAGTGCATGACTTTTCCTGGAAATGGAAAACAGCTGGGCTTTAGAGATGGGAATCAATTGGACAAACAGCCAAAGCTCAAAAGCCTAAAATTAGACCAAGGATTCTGTTCTGGTTTTGGACTGCACGTAGACACATGTAGACAGTGTGATCCATCAATGGGGTTGTGCTTGTTTGCTTCATCTATAGCTGCAGATGAGCTACTAAGATATAAACACACCTTCCTGTTGGATTTATATATGCATCTCCAAATCAAAATAAAAAGAATAGTTTCTTGTTATATAATCTTTAGAGAGGAATATATAACATTATCCTATCATAAACTCAAAGCACATCAACAATCATACACTGCAAGAACTATCTTATGATAGAGAGGTTTGTATAATTAGGGCTACCTGATCTGGACAGCAAACCCCAGAGCAGAGCTTCTCTGTCTCTCTGTTGCCATCTAGTGATCCTTCAGATTTCTGTAGGCTTTGTATAATATTCATTTGGGGATGTACATCCACCTAGCAAATTACACTTTGAATGGATTATGAACAATCTCTTAAAGATTTTTAGGTCCTTAATGATGCAATGGTTTAAGTTAAAAACTTGGAGATTTCATCAGGGTAAGGAGGAACTAGCCAAACACGCCAGTGACATTTCCTTAACATAAGCTCCAAGGCTCAACAGCAGTCAAACTGAGAGACTGAAGGAGAAAGTAATACTTTCATTCAATGGAAATGACAGATCTTAGTCTTCTTGATCCAGTGCTAATCCAGTGTATACCCTGATTCCAGTTCAAAAGAATTTGGCTGGTAGCAGGTTTCAATGAAAAGTGAAGACACGAGTTTGGATTCTAGCAATGATTTACATTTGATGCAATAGGGAAGAAGTCTTATTTTCTGTAATGTAATCAGTCAACTAACATGAACTCTTTCCCTACGGCATTTCTCTCTCTCTCCTCCACCCCACCCCCCGTATGTTTATATAAAATAAGGTTTAAAAAAGTCTGTGATTTCTCTACCCTAGTTTGCTACTGAATCCTGTAATTAGCATCTTAAGGTGCCTTATTATCATCTTTTATTGGTTATTCAGTAATTTTTTTCTGGCAATAAGCCTTTTGAAATCAAAGGAGAGTTAGTCTGAGTCTAAAAAAGCATTCCCTTTATAATGTTGCAGCACCATTTCCTAGTGGCAGATGTTAAGAGATCAGTTATAGCAGAAAACAGATAGTTAATGTCCTTCCTGCATTTACATATATTCTGGTATAGTTCCATCCAGCCATCGCCAGTCATCTTCCTTCACTGAGTCAGTGAGACCAATCCAGAAACTGCCTTTTGCGATAACTTGTTTTTTAAGCCATTGCTGTGAACAGAAGAAAGGACAGGTCACATTATTTCACATTCCAAGGTTTTGGCTCCCTAAACTACTTTGCGCTTTAGGACTTGAAAAGGGTGACTAAGCATAAACATGAGCGCAGAATTTAGATGGGTGAAATCCATTGGGAACTATTTCTGAGCTAATTCCATCTGATCTGACCACATTTCCAACTCATCCCTCCCTCCCAATCTCAATCCAATCTCCTCCTCATCATCCACCAAGAATTTCCTTTTCCCCACCAATTTTCTGGTTAAAGATGGTGTACTGATAGCAGCAATAGCCAGCTATGGCACATGAGGTGAAGACAGGGGCTTTTTTCTTTCCACTCTAGCAATGGAAATGCTGCAAAGTAGATTGTGAGAAATGCAGCTTCAACAGGGGCTATTTACGGCATGGTGCGCTCTGCAGCCAGAATGAAAAGGGATTATAAAAGAAGTTCGCCCTTGTTCCTTCCCCAACTTGCTGTCACAAGAGCACCAGCTCAGTAAGCGCTGACCAGGCATTTTAATTTGTACAATCCCTTGTCTGCCTCAATACAAAATGCTGTCTTTTATTATATTTATAGTGGCTCATTGTAGTAATGATGTTGATATTAATGCAGCTGTAGTTGCCCTGGAATCGGATTTTAAGATGACTAACAGAGAACTATTTCAAATAAATAGATAAACAATTTGGGGCTCTGTGGTTAGGCAGAAGGGAAGTTGGAGGTTGAAAGGAAGGGATTCTTTTCTAACTTAAATTAAAATCCAACACCTTCCCCCCAAAAGCATTTAGAAATTACAATAATCATCTCGTATGGAATGACATCCTCTGCCTTATTTCCAACAAGATCTTTTGGAAGCTCACTATTTCTATATCTGGGGCTGGAAATATTACTCTTAGTGACAGCACTGGCTGACATTTGCACACACATTGCTTTTAAGATGTCTGTTTGAGACAATTTTTTATTAGTCTTCATAGGGTCAAACTACATACTGCTTGGGAAAGAACTGTGGATGACCTTTCACCTTTGTTTTGTTATGCAGTGAAGCATAGTTATGTGGGATTGTCAGTTTGTTAAAATGACAAAATGGAAAGGAAGAAGGTATGTAAACCTTTCCCAGTCCTGCCCCCACCTCTACTCAGTCATTCTCCTAGCCTCTTTTTCTTTAGAAGAGAAAATCAATTTTTGGGGGTGGGGGGAGGTGTAACAGTGTCAGTGGAATAAGAAAGAGTGATAAATCCTGTTCTTTTCATGGACTGCTTTGAACTAACTGACAGCATCTGACAACTTCATTTCAAGAAAAATCAACATGGACTTTCAGCAGAACATTCAATCTAGATTGAATGGAAGCTGCGATAACAAGCATTGGTTGCTCCTCCATGCAAATACAGGTAGTCCTCATTTAGCAACCACAACTGGTATCGGCAACTCAGTCATTAAGCAAAGCGATCACAAAGTGAAACCATGACTATGCTTACAATCTTACTTCAGCTTTCATTTACTTTACAGACCTGCAAAGGTCGTAAATGCAAGAATTGGTGGTAAAGTTACTTTTTCATCACCCTCGTAACTGCAAATGGTTGTTAAACGAGGCAGTTGCTAAACAAGGACTACCTATAGTTTTTTGCTAACTTTTACAGTAAGACTGTCATCCCCTGATCATCCCTCCTGATTATCTTTAGTTAGATTATTATCTAACTAAATTATTATGAGACAATTCCACATATAAAATGCTTTCCGACTAGCTTGTCTAACTTAATTACCTCCTATCATTGTCAACTGGCATGGCTGGAGGTAACAATATTTGCATACAAATGTGTTCTAACCCTGCTCCTTTTTACTATTTAAATCTAACAGCATGCCAGATGGGATTCTATACCTGTTCCTCTTTGCTATTAATGAAAACCAAATGTGACGATTTCTCTTCACAGAAAAGTTTTGCATCTTCAAAAATGGCTCTTTCATTTGAAAAGTAGTAACAGCTGTCTGAAAAATTCTTCCAGTAAACAGGACAACCTGTAACATGAAACACTTGCAATAAATCCCTGTGAGAATGAAAACTTAACCCCCCTCAAAAATAAGGGCTCTGAACAGTTTGAAAATGATTGAGAAATGCTTCAGACCTCATGTGAGCACAGCACCTCCCTGCTGTATATTAAGGCAGCCTAACTTTTTCTAGGCTTCAGTATGGGCCTGAAAAAAGATGCTCTACTTTAAGAATCAACCCATTAAAATTAATCTACTGTTAAAACAGCAGCATCTTTTTTTTCAAACTCACACAGAAGCCTGAGAAAAGATGCACCAGCTTTAAGCAATAGCAGGGACTCACTGTGCTCACGTGAAATCTAAAAGACGACTTCAGAATTACTCTTGGAGCACCCAGAACCCTACTAGATAAAGTTTTGAACAACAGTTCTCTAATCATTAGGAGCCATGCAATTTGAAAAAATGATTATCCATTCAGAATATTGTTGAAATGGAATTTCCATTACTGATAGTTGCAGCCATCTTTTTCTATCAAACTGGCCTTCATTTCTAGTTTATAATAAAAAAAAAAGAGGGCACAGTTTAACAATATGTTTACAGGATAAATTTTGAAAAGCAGCCAGAACTTTTCCTGTATCAAAACCATTCTTCTAATACCATTCTGTTTGGATACAAAAAGTGAAACAATTAATGACTAACAATGAGATCTGAACAATCCTACAAAATTACTTATGAAGTTCTAATAGCAACACTGGAGATAAACCATATTTTGTCCATTTTTTCCATATAATACATAGCTTTGTTTTCCCAGTGCTTGCCATTATTACAAGGGACAAATATCAGTCCTGCATATATGTATGTGGTACACAAAACGTAGAAATCATTTTGTGAATTAAAAACTAAGGGGGGAAGAAACTCCAGTGAAGACTCAGGATGCTCAGTGACCTTTAGATATCACAGAGCATAGGTGTCAATGGAGGGAGGAGAAAAAAAGGAAAAGATGGGGAGGAACTGGCCTGCTTGAGCTTCTAATGTTTTTTAATATGTTTTAACAGTACAAAATACTAGTTGTGTCGAGGGTTAAAATTCCTTGCCGCCTTCTTCACATTACAGAGAGAAGCTTTAGAAGGTGAATGAGAGAGAGAAAAAAAGAAACGGATTTTATGGCCCCAGGCCTCTCTGTGTGATGTGATAGATTAACTGTCTGAACCCAAGCAGTAACTACTCTGAAACAGAATGGGAGGAATTCTGGGGAAAAAGAAGAGTTGCTTTTCTGTTCCTTCTTAGAACCGTCATCTGGACCCATGGATTCAAAGAGTATGATGTTCATTTCAAGCTGGTTGGAGGCTTGAAAAAATATAGGCTGCAAACTTTCACTGCAATATGTACACAGAGTACAATCCAATGCAATAGTCAACAGAGTTTCAAACTACACTTTTATACATTGGTAATAAATATACAGTGAGGCATGCAGACAGATAGTATGTGTGTTAGCAGCTTACCGTTAGTTTCACTTTGTAGCGCCACAGGTATTCCTGGACCTGATGGTCCAGGAGGACCAGGCTCACCTGGAAGACCACGTAGTCCAGGTACACCTGGCAGACCAGGCAATCCACGAGCACCAGGTACTCCTGGTTCACCAACAACTCCTTGAAGACCTTGGGGTCCAGGTGGGCCCTGTGGGCCTGGGGGCCCATCTTTGCCAGGTGATCCAGGGAGCCCTGGATCTCCACTAGGACCAGGCAGCCCACTCTTCCCAGTAGAACCTCTCTGGCCTTTAGATCCAGGTGAACCTCTGGAACCTTTCCCACCTTTTTCACCTGGTGGTCCAGGTAGGCCACTTGGTCCTTTTTCACCTTGAGGTCCTGGAGGTCCTGGTTCACCTTTTTCTCCTTTTGGTCCTTTGGGCCCAGTAAGTCCAACTGGACCTTGGGGTCCTCTGTCACCTTTGGGCCCTCTTGGACCTGGAGGGCCTACAATAACATGAACATGTAGAGAAAATTAGAAAAATAATGAAATAGTATAATATCATACAAATAATGAACTGAAGTACATCGTAGTACTAAGAACATATTTGCACTTTATATTTACATCAATTTTTAACTCTTTTTAAAAGTAGTGGGTTCCTCCAAAGAACTCAAGAAAACTTAACCTGTCAGTATGCCTTTATCACAAAATAAGTCAACAGAAAACTAAATCTAGACCCTAAAATGATTTTAAGTAGATGATTACAGCTTCCTTAAAAGATTAAGGAAATTGTCCAAGTTTGTTTAGTATTGTTTAATTTAAGTTGTTTACATGAATCAGTGTTGCATCAAAGAATCTACAAAATCTTATTAGAACATTCTATTGTTTATATTTTTATTATTTTAAGAAATATATCAAGGGTGATTCAATGCCCATATTTCACTTTTTTTCCTAGCTTTTCTATCCATTACAGTCACAGGTTAAACAAAGCAAATATGCTTAACTTTCCCAGTTATGAGAGACATATTTATAGAAGAAAGTTTAAAAAATGGTGGAACTATTATAAAATTCATATTCAAGGAAAATCTTTATTAGGTAAAATAAAAAGTATTAAAACTATTGGAAAAGTTTTAAAAACCTCTATATCTTTTTATGTTCTCTGCCTGATGGATATCTAGAGATCATAAAAAGGCAGAAATCTCAATTTCATGAAACTGAAAGGAAACTATCACTGACTGCAGTTTTTGGAAGTTGCACTGAATAAATTAAAAATATCTCCTTTTCATGAAATTGTCAACAAAAAAGAATCTACTTACCAGGAAAAAAAAACTTTTGCTAAGTGTCTTCACAACATTGGGTTGTTTTTTAGATAGTGACAAATTCTATTTATAATATATGCACAATGCAATATATACCTGACTGTAGGGTTGTAAAAAACCATAGTAGTAGAAAGCTTAGAAATGTAAGATGTTATATACCATATTTTTCCGTCTATAAGACGATACTTTTTTCTAAAATCGTTACACTAAAAATTGAAGGATGTCTTATGCAAGGAAGTAAGCCAAGGAGAGAACTGCACGGTTACGAAACTGCCCATAC